TTTGTGGTCCCCAAGTGTGGCTCAGCGGAGAACCGTGAAACTCATTCCTTAAGCCACACTGGGCCGCCTCCGGCCCAAAGGGCTGCTCTCTCTTGTTCTAAGGCAAAGCCTGGGGAATGTACTGCCGGTCCCTTAGGTTGCCTGCAGAGTCCGGCACTAGGGGTAGTTTCGAGCCTTTAAAAGCACGTGGTGTTCCAGCCAAGTGGCCTCCCATCCTGGAATAATACGGAGAATCTTTTGTCTTCTACTCACCATCAGTTCACAAGGCACAAAGCCCCCATGAAACTGCCCCTATAAACAACACAGCCTCCCTGACCCCCAGACTGTCCGTTTTGGCCTCTGTTTCCACCTCTGCAGCACAAGAACGACATTGAGGAATATAGTTAGTGACGTCAACCCGGCAGTCGAATAGCAGAATAAAGTTAACCAAGCAGCCTTTTGCTTGGCTGGAACGTTATTTCCCATTGCATGATCCTTCTGGCGATAGATGCGAGTACATCTCTAGCAGGCTGCCTTAATCTGTGCTGCCTTTAGGGTGATTTGTAACAAGTTGAATTATCGATAATGGAACGAATGCTCTGGGTGCTGTGAGGAACATGGAAACAAATGCAGGTGGGAAAAGAAAAGCTGTCTTCATCCTGTAGCTGAACTAGTGATGCATTGACTTTGGCATAATTCAGGGCGAAAAACAAGAGGCTGGGATTCTCACTGAGGAATGCTAGAATTCCCATGCATCGGTTTTCCTAATGACTATCTAAAGAGGGTACTTTGATTCAGGTTTGGGGAAACTTTTTTTAAAAGCCCTCTCTTTATAAAGTGCTATTTTATTTCACGTATGTAGCGAACTATTTTTATATATTTATAAATGTGTTAACATCACTTTCTGGTCTTGTGTCCTGTGTAACGAGAGCCGAGTCCGGTTGAAGGAGGGTTTAGCAGATACAGATTCTGACAGAGGCCTTCAATACTCCATTTGGGTCGCCTAGGAAAATGTAAACCCAGGACAGTTTCAGCGGTAGTGACTGAACACTGCCTTTGACGGTCATGAACTATAGCTCAGCTCTTGAGCAACAGTATGTTTCTTGTCCTTGTAACGTGACTCAGGGGTATCATTTTACCTCTTTTTTGGCTTTCCAGAGTGTATCATCTGTTCGAGGAGTTTGCAGACAACTGAATGTTCCATAGGCTGTGTTGTAACTTTAGTTTTGTTCACTTGGCATCTTGTTCAGAACACATGCCAGGCTGGATGCCTCTTTGTGGAAGGGGGGGGGGGGGAAGCCGAAGTCCCCGGTTTGGTTTTGAGTTTGGGCGGGGATCGTTTGTAAGCTCTTTGAAAGTTTGGTCTCCTTTGAAAGTAAGCTCTCCCAGGCTGCCAGCCTATGCTGTACTTTCCGTATATACAGAATGGCAATTATCTGCCAGATGGGAATAGGGTGAAGGTCTGAAAGCACCTTTTCGGGCTGATCTACCGTCCGTGGCCCACTAGAGGGCGCCCTTGTTGAGTGTTAATTCCACTGCGTGTTTTTTAAGAAAATGGAATAAGCTGAAATTTTTACACTGGTACTTACTTCCTGTAGCAACTCATGGGTTGATTTTGCTTTATAAAAGTGAGGACAAAATTAGACTGAACTGAATTACTTTTAATGAATATTTGAACCTGAAGGGATTTATTCAGTGTTTGGCAACATTGGTTTCTGACTATCAGGCATTTGCTGGGCTCTGGATTTTAGTTTTAAGTCCTCAAAAGTATCATTCTACAATGTTCTACAGGGAGAAAAGAGCCTAATGCGTCTCTAGAAAATATTGTAGTCTAGGCTTGGGGTTCACCACCAGAAGGGGGGTCGGTGGAAAATGGACATTGGATGCGCATTTAGATCAGGTGCAGGTGGCCTCCACACTGACCCCTGCAGCATAATCTCACCCTGTGGAAGACCAAACAAGATCTCTTGACAGCCAGCAGATGTGATCCTCACTTAACCAGTGAAGAAAGTAGTTCAGAGAAAATGGCTTGATTAAGCTCAGGAGGAACTGTGGATCAGGAATAGGCTGAAGCTTTAGAGGGAAAGCAGCCTTTTAGAGAATGGGTTGGACTGGGGCACCTGGGTGTCTCAGGTCATTATCCCAGGGTTGTGGGAAGGAGCCCCGCATGGGGCCTGCTTACTCCCGCTCCCCCTGCCCCTCTCTCTGCTCGCAGGCATGCTCTCTCTCAAATGAAAAAGAATAATAATCTAGAGAGTGGCTTGGACTGTTCGTGAAAGAATGTAGGTCCAGAAACTTTATTTCCAGCCCTGAGACCAATCCCTTGAGCTACCATTTTGTTCACTGCCTGTCCCTCCCTTTAGGTATGCTCCTCTGGACACAGATGAGTGTCCCCCTGCCCCCCATTGTATGCCAGCAGCTAGAGCAGTGCTTGGCACACAGGGGACTCAAATGCTTGTTGAAGGAATTAGTTCAAGAGACGCGTATTAGAAAATTTTAGGGGTGCTTGGGTGGCTCATTTTGTTAGGCATCAGACTCTTATTTCAGCTCAGGTCGTGATCTCACGGTTCATGAGTTCGAGCCCCGTGTGGGGCTCTGCGCTGACGGCTCAGAGCCTGGAGCCTGCTTGGGATTCTGTGGCTCCCTCTCTCTCTTGCCCCTCCCCCACTCACACTCTGTCTCTCTCTCTCAAAACTAAATCTTAAAAAAAAGAATTTGATCCAGTTGCTCTATTTTATGCTGAACTAGAGAATGATGATGCACAGGATGCGATTAAAGCATGAATAGGAAGAAAGCAAAATTTGCTGAAAATAACGAGGAGGGTGCTGATCAGGGTGAGATCGTAGGTAAATAAAGGAGAACAAGGGCGCTGAATGTTTGAAGAATGATACTATGAGTCAGGACTAAGTGTCAACCAGATTATTTTGTGAGAGCAAAGCTAAACCTACTAACATCAATTAATACATTTCAGTTCCAACTTTGGGTACAAGTTTTCACATGCTCACATTCGGTACCTCTACACGACTATTCTCGATGCCACTGTTAAGTCACTACCATTTCCCCATCCAGCAGAAATATTTCTAAAATCCGTAACTCAATATACTAACTGGACGTACAACATCCATAATGTAGCTTCTTCCCTAATGCCAGCAACTTCTGAAAAGTCAATTGTCTAACATTTGGTCAAGTTATTTGATACTGAATGGTACAGTGGGAAAATCATGGGCTTTGCAGCAAGATTCATCCGGGCTCAAATGGTGACATTGTCACATACTAACTAGGCAAGTGACCTTGAGTAAGTCACGTCTCTGAATCTTTTTCCTCAAGTGCATAATGGGGAATAATACTACATGCTTCACTGGACTACAGTGAGGATTAAATTAGATAATGTAGTTTGTGAAAAGCATTACGATATAGAGTAGGCACTAGAATGAGTGGATCTCCTTATAAATGGGCACATATTCCATATATGGGGACACACAGAGGGTGAAGACTAAGGGACCTGGTGGGTGCTTTTCAGTTGCAGGAGATGGGTTATGACAAGTGTGGGTTTGGTGTGTTTGGGTCATTGTCTCTGTGGGCCTGCTAGCCCAACAATCAGTATTTTCTCAGCTAACAGGGTGTTCTCATGCAAATACATGTATGTACACAAAATGAGGTCGTTTCATCTTAAAGGCTCTTTCTAGCTCAAACAGCTGCGATTACGCCTGGTTTAGCCTCTGAGAGGTGCTTAACAAGCTGTTCCTTTGATGAGGGAGCCTCTAAGAAAATTCGTTCGCAATAGGTCGGATGCTCTTCAGTCATTTATATTTCGCCAGTTCTAATATTTATACTTCTTGCGGAAAAGGTGAGAATTTGGGGAGGGAGGGTAAGGCACCAAATACCTCCTTGGTTTCCAGGAGCGGGCCAAATTTCCCTCTTCCCTAAAGAGGTTTAAGGAAGTAATCCAACTCCGGTTCTGAGATAATCCAATCCGCAGTTTTCCCCTTGCTTTGGCTCCTCGCCGGTCCTACTACCCGCGCAGGAGAGACATTGGCCAGCCCAACGCGAGGCAGGCGAGAGTCCACCGGCTCCCTGGAGGGCGGGACCGAAGCTCAGGAGCCGGGAGCAGAGGGCAAGAAGTCTCGGGAGCGCGCGGACAGGAGCGGGCGCCTCGGGACTACGACCCCCGGCATGCCCTGCGGCCTGCGCCGGCTGGGGTTGGCCGGGAACTCTAGCCTACTGCCCTCACCGGCCAATGGGACGCAGGAGAGAGACCTGACCCGGATTTTCAGGGACCAATGGCGGTACAGAGGAGGCGGGGCTTCCTTGCCGCTCACCTTGCGCTCGGAAAAACCACATTTAAAAGGTCGTGTGGGGCCGAATTCTGGCGGGTCGGGAGACCAGAGGCGGAGGGCGCGGCGGCGTGCCCGAGAGCGGCGCCGGGAAGGCCCGGGTCCCCGCGAGGCGCGCGCCGGACGTCGGCGGGGGCGGGGTCAGGGGCGGGGCCTGGCCTCGTTGTGGAGCGGCTCCTAATCCATCATGGCGGCCGCGGGGGTCGGTGTCCGTCCCTGAGCAGCGCCGGAGCCGGAGCCGCTACCCGGGTCCTGCGGCTGAGGAGCCCCTCGGTTGTCCACGGCCCCCACCTGCGGGGGGAGGCTGGGTCCCGCGGCGGAGTTCCGGGGATGTGACTGCCTGGCGGCGGCGGCGGCTGTAACAACGTCCGGAGCCGGGGGAGGGGGTGTCTCGGGCAGAGACCCCTGGGCTCGGGGCAGCTGAGGCGGCCGGGCCTCCTCCCCCCTCCGCCCGCCTCCCGCCTTCGGGGCCGCGAGCGTGCTCTGTCCCGTACAGCCCTGCCCTGGCTCTGGGGCACTGGGGGTGGTCTCTGTTTCCCCCCAGACCTGGGACACCCCGTTTCCTGAGGCGTGGAGGAGCGACGCCCCGGAGTAAGCCGCCCGTGCCCCGCCCCGGCAGCCTCCCCTTTACCCCCGAGCCGCCCCTCGCGCCCACTCCCGGCCCCGAGTTTGGCCTCGGAGCACCCCCCCCCCCCAGGTTGCTCCCGGGAGCCTCCAATGCCTTGACCTCTTCCAATGTCACCTACGGTCCCTTTAGTCTCAGCCCAAACAAAAACTTTAATGCAGAGGAAAAGCCTGGACTGGTTTCACAGGCCTTTTAAAAAGCGGACTTAAAAGTTGCTGGCAATGCATTCCTTGTCATCCGAGGCGAGGGCAAGCCCTCGCTGAAGTCTGGGTGACCCGTGTCGTTTTCCGGAGCGCAGGGTAGAGCAGCAGGAGCGGCAGCTAGTTTGGCAGGAAATCTGTCGGAAGATCAAGAAACTGAGATAGGAGGTAGGGTGGGCGACTTCCCCAGGAAAAGTTCTGGAGAAGCATCCAGAGGTGATCACCATTTCCTTTATGTGCGGGAATCGAGATGACTTTAGTGTTACTGACCCTTTTACAGCATCCCTGTGAATGTTTGTTTTTCTTCTTGGAGAGAAAGAAACTTACTCAGCCCGTGAAAGACACTCAAACTCAAGGAACTGTGGGGTCGCCCCGCAGTTGCAGGACTTCGAATTGATCGACCGCGGACATAATCGGAACTGCTGTTTACATGTGTTCACTTGTGTTTGACCTCAATGTACTGACCCGTGGCGATTCGGTGAATGTGAAGTCCCACGCATGTACTGTTTCCTTCTAAGCCCGCTGACCGTTCTGGAGGATCTCGAACCCTCTTCTGGAAAGGGGTGCCTATCATTACTTTATGGGGCAGCAGCCTGGAAAAGTTCTTGGGGACCAGAGGAGGCCAAGCTTGCCTGCCCTGCACTTTATCAAAGGAGCAGGGAAGAAGGAATCATCGAGGCACGGGGGTCCGCACTGCAATGTCTTTGTGGAACACGGTGAGTGCTTTTCAAGCTTTCGGATCCTGTTTTTTCCTGGTGTGTTCCGCTTAGGAAGGCATAAGGCACTTTTGAACCACAGCGCTTGTGTCCGTTCCTTCCAGCTGTACTGGAAACTTGTGTTGCTGTCGTGTTCTCTTAGTTTGTGGAGGGACTGTCTTCGTAGCAGAAGAAGTTACTTGGGGACTCTGTGTGGCTTTACCAGAATCTCCCCGAGTCGTTTATTTCTCGCCTGGTTCCCCTTCTCACTCGCTGTTGACCTTCGATAAGCCATTTTACTCTTCCAGTTTGCTGAGGAGAGTGCACTTAAGTCGTTTCTCGGATCAGAGTCCACGATCCTGCTCCGACCTAAGGCGTGGGCTCTCCCCGAAGATCCTTCACTGCTTTAGCCGTGGAGGAGGGGCTTTCATCGTATCCTCAGAGTGGCCCGCGCTCCCCAAAAGGTTAAGAACCACAGATCCTGGTGGGCGCTAATATCCTTGACCTTTTCAGTCCTGAGTAGGACTTGAAAGTGCCCACTTTGGAGCTACGTGGGAAAAGTGGAGTGGGGAAGCAGCGTCCTTTGCGGATCGAGGAAACCCGGCTGCTTCTAGTTGCTTTGCCTTACCCAGGAGTGATGGTTTCCCCGGCGATGGGGCTTGTAGGTTCCCCTGTCTCCCTGTTTCGGATGACATTTGGGGCCAGAAAGGGTGCCTTCGACATTTGCATGAACATAGTTGGCATTTGATTGCAGACTGTCTGTATTCCACTGCACCTTTCCAGTAATTCCGTGTGAAGTTTTAAAGCGAAGGGTCGGCTGAGACTCCTGCCTGCTACAGGGGCCGGCCGTGCACCACTTAATTAGGGCCCTGGCCGTAGTGCTGTAGCCTGACGTTTTTCGAACCGTGAGCTTCATATAGGAATATCGACCCCACCCGCTCTATTAACGAATATGAGAAGAGCGCGTGGCATCTACTTTGAAATTCAGCCTCAGATGCCTTTTAACGATGGGTGACCACGGTCAACAGAGGTCTCTGCGCCTTGCACTTGCGTGTGACCGTTGAGGTTTTACTTTCTGACAGAAAAATATTTGCCTCATCTATATAATTTGGGCGCTCGAATTGTATTTTTCCTTGAAATATTAGTTACATTTTAGCGCTGGTTTTAGACTGGGAGATATTGAAGTTTGTTACATTCTGGTGCTTCCCCAATTCAGGATTTGTAAAGTGAAATTATTTACATTAAAAAAATTTTTTTCTGGGGCGCCTGGGTGGCGCAGTCGGTTAAGCGTCCGACTTCAGCCAGGTCACGATCTCGCGGTCCGTGAGTTCGAGCCCCG